ATTCCTTCTTTTTGTAGAAATCCTTTCGCCACAAGCCTTGCTTTGTGTCGAGTTACTTCCCCTTTCGAATTCGTTTTCACTTTGTATACCCACATGACATCAATTGCCTTCTTACCTTGAGGTAATTCGATAAGTGACCAAGTGTTGTTATCTTTGATAGACTTCACTTATTCGTACATTGCTTTCACCCACTTTGAATCTTTCAATGCTTCAGCTGCATTGAAAGGTTCGACATATGCATATAAAGCATAATGTACCAACTCACCTTCATTATCTATCACATCATAAAACTCTTTAGGTAAATTCTTGCCTTTCAACATATTTCTCACCATATTCATGATGGTTCGATTCTTCTGTTTTGCAATTTCATTATGTTGTGGAGTATAAGGTGGCACCACCTTATGCACAATCCCTTCCTTCTCACATAACCTGTTGATGTCTTTCGACACATACTCTCCACCACTATCAGTTCTCAAAACTTTGAGTTTTAGACCACTTTGTCTTTCGACCATAGACTTAAACTTGGAAAATACTTCGATCACTTCACTTTTCTTCTTGATCAGGTAAGTCCACAACTTTTGACTGAAATCATCTATGAATGTAAAAAAGTATTTTTTTTTTACCTCCTATTGAATCCACCTGGATTGGTCCATATACATCAGAGTATATGACTTCAAGAATAGCATTCGACCTGCTTCCTGCATCCTTGCTGAAGCTATTCTTGTGCTGCTTCGCCTGCACACATTCCTCACATACCTCGTTTGGAATGTCGATTTCTGGAAATCTTGAAACCATATTTCTTCTCTTCAAATATCTGATGTCTATGAAGTTGAGATGGCCTAGTCGATAATGCCATATCCATTCATCTCTGCTAGCTGCAGTCGAAAGGCACTTGTGCTCCATCACATTTAGTTCGATCCTGAAGGTTCTATTTTGAGACATAGGAGCCTTCAAGATTAATCTTCAATTTGCATCGACGACTCTCATTATCTTATGTTCGATCGACACTTTATAATTCTTTTTGACCAACTACCCTATACTGAGCAAATTTCTCTGCATGCCTGGTATGTACAATACATTGGAAGTTACTGACCTCTTGCCATCTTTCCTCATAATCATAACATCACCAATACCTTTATCTGCTAGGGTATTGTCATTTGCGAATTTTACCATATTTTTCATTGAGGGCTTTATATTGACAAACCAGACTTTCCTTCCAGACATATGTGATGAGCATCCTGAATCCAAGTACCATTGATCCTTGAATATATCTTCATCTCTTGTTGTGACCATCAGCATCATCTCTTCTTCTTTATGTTTTGCAAACTTTGCATCACTTTCTTGATTCTTTCACTTTTATGGACAATCACTCGAATAATGTCCATACTTCTGACAATTGTAACATTGAATGCGACTCTTATCAGGTTTTCTACCACCACCTCTTCCTCTATTTACAACACCACCTCTTTGGTTGCCTTGGTATGGTCTTCTCTGATTCAACATGTTTCCTTCGTTCTGGTTTCCTCTACCAGCTGATTTGTTGTAGCCGCCTCTACCTTTGCCGAACTACTTTCCTTTGCCTTTGGTTTCTTTTGTTGAATGTGCCTGCAAAGCCACATCACTCTTCAACTGTCTGCAGTTCTTTCATTCATTCTTTGTTTATGAGATTCAAGCGTCCCTTGAAGCTCTTCCTTTGTCAATTTCGACAAGTCTTTCCCCTCTTCTATAGCCACCACCACGTGATCGAACGTAGGAGCCAAAGATCTCAAGATCTTTGAAGCAACAACTCTTGTTGTTAATGTTTCTTCACATGCCTTGATTTGATTCACTAGTTTTGTAACTCTAGTGAAGAAATCAGATATGCTTTCACTATATTCCATCTGAAGCAATTCATATGTTCTCTTGTGAGTTTGTAACTTCACTTCTTTCATCTTTTCTGCACCATCAAAGGACTTCTCAAGAACATCCCAAGCTTCTTTTGCAGATTCTGAATCACTCGCTTTTTCAAAATTTTCTAGACTCACACATTGATGAATTATAAAGAGTGCTTTATAACTCAGCTTCTCAATTTCTGTGTGTTTCTTCTTTTCTTCTTCTAAAGCGTTTTCTCCAAGCGCTTCAAATCTATCTTTTACAAGATCCCAAAGACTTTGACACCTGAATAAAACTTTCATCTGTTTGCACCAATTCTCATAGTTGTCCACGTTTAGAATTGGTAGAGTTGCTGAATAATTTGCATTCCCATAATTCGTCATCGTGAATTCTTTTTCTTTCTCAATTGTTCTTGATCGATACTTCCCTTGAATCGATTAACCGAGCTCTTGATACCAGATGTTAGAAACCCATCAAATATCTATGATGAATTTCTACATAATGACAATGAATTATGAGAAAGAAAAGAAAAGAAAGAAGACAATTATTTTCTGGAGAGTTTCTCTCTGCCCACAAACTGTGGAAAACTTTGTTATTCACTTTGCAACTGCAAAATACTGTAAATGACTTAATTGACTTTTTTACAAATTTAGGGGTTACTCCCTATTTATAGATTTTGGTTAACTCAAAACGCAAAACTATAAAAGCCCAAAATACATATTTTGGTACTAAATCAAATCTATCTATTTTAGATCTAAATCAAATCTATTTAAATCTATAAAAAAATCTAATATGCGTGCTCTTCGACACACCATAATTTTGACACTATGAATTACAATTTAATAGTTTGGAGATTTACTCAATTACACAAAGTAATCTCTCAAAACGGTTTAGAAAAATAAATAAATTTAATTATCATAAATATCTTTCATTAATGTATTAATATCACTAATTCGACACTTATAAATTGATTAATAACTTTTTTTAACTAAAGTTTGTTTCACTAACAATTTTATTATTTAATTTGAACTAATTATGAAAATTAAAAAGAATTTTGATAATTGTAGCGAGTCAAATATAATATACTTTAAATAAATTTTTAAGAAAAATGATTATTTTGATAAAATGATTTTTCTTTTTCTTACTTACATTTTTTTTAATATTTTGATGGCGGAAGCATGTATCATATCAATATAGTACGAATATACGTGTAACACTTATATCAATTGTATGATTGATTTTCATTTTTTATATTTTAAATAATAGTCCAAAATTTAATAAATATAACATTAAAATTAGATCATTCTCTATATGAATTTTTATGTAAAATGATTTATCTATTGATTTTCAACTAATTCTAATTTTAGATATTTATTTGTCTCATTTATTAAACTTTATAAACTCTTTTATTATTACAATACTATCAATCTTAAATTTTTTTCTTTTATTTTTCACAATTATTTTTTACAAAGTCTTTGTTCAATAGTTTTTCTTAATATTAATTATTTTTAAAAATTTATATAATTATTTTCCATTTCATTTTTTCTTTTTTCAATAATATTTTGATATGTTTTAATTTGTTTGAATGTCTATGATAATTGATAACAATTCTGCGGTTCGATCCATATCAATATCTGTGCAAACATACGGATAATACATCAATATTGTGTGAACGCACGGGTAATACATTAGTACCGTGTAAACGCACGAGTAACACATCAGTAACATGTGAACACACGAATAACTATTTCAAAATCAGTACAAACACATGAATTATTACATTTATTATACATTTATTATAAATAGTAAATTTTGTTGATAAAACATGATCAAATATTTATCTTTGACTACTTTTTTTTATTTTTTATTTTTTATAATTAAATTTAAATATTTTTTATTTTTTTGAATTACAAAATCAAACTACACGAATTCTCCATTAATTTTCATTAAAAGTTAATAACGTAAATATTTTTCTAATAACTTAAAACATAACAAAATTTCATAAATAAATATCTAAAATTTGAGAGATGAATAGAAAAAAAAAATGACACATCATAAATTTTAATGAAAAATGCGAGAAGAGAACAAAACATTTAAATTTAAAATAAAATAATTAATTATTGTGAAATTAATTGTAATGAGAAAATCAAAACAATAATAATTTGAAAATTTATCATTATTAATATTATGACAAACTATAATTTAATTAACTTAATTTTTTGTTTTAAAAAGTTTTTATTTTTATATTTATTATAAATAAAATGACAAAAACATTTGAAAATTTTACTATTCTAACTCAAATAATTACATAAAAAATCAATTTACTATTCTTATGAAATTATGAAATCTTTCCCACTTTTTAACCTCACTTAGTTGGCTTATCCAATTATTGTTTGACAAAAATGAAGAGAAAACAAATGTTGTCTAAGTATCATCATCGAATAAAAGGAAAGATTAAAGACAAAGAAAAAACCAAAAAAAAAGAAGGTAAATATTGACATTTGAGTCAAGGGTAAGAAAGTAATAACAGCGATACTCCCCTCATAACAACCGACATGTGGCGGTACATGCGGCGCACATGCTTTACCGTCCAAACACTTAAAAGAACCAAAAAGTAATACGAATACTAATTTACTGGAGCGGTTTTTAAGATTCAAAAATTAAAAGAGGGAACGTAACGCTTAACTAATTAATTCATTAAATTAAAACCAAATTAAATAAAAATAACTAATTAATTAATATTTATATATTATATATTATAGTTGCTGTTGTCATTTGATTGCTTTGTTTTGAAACAGAAGAAGAGTAGCTTCTACTTGTTCTATTCTTATTCTTCTATTCTACCACTCTTTCTTTTCTTTACTCTCTCCACACTCCACTCAACCATCTCTTTAAAAAAAACGCACTATCTTCTTCTTTACCGTTGAACTAACTCAAGAGAATCAATCTCCAAGATCGGAAGGTGAGGTCATTTTCGTCATTTTCTCTTTTCAAGATTTTAACGTAACAACCTCGTACACCTTGTTCTATTTCTTTGTTAGTCTTGTTGCAATTTTGAAGAGTAATAATGAGTGTTGATTTTGTTTGTTAGGGAGTTTCTGTGACGGCTGTGTGAGTTTAGTAGCAATATGGAGAGGAACACTCCGGTGAGGAAACCGCATACTTCAACTGCAGATCTGCTTACTTGGTCGGAAACTCCGATTGCAGATTCGCCAGCTCCGGCTTCTTCTGCTTCTCGTTCTCACCAGGTAGTTGAAACGGTTAAAGTATTAAAGGGTTATGGTTTTCTGTTTGTGTTTTTGTTTTTGGTTGTGTTTGTAATTGGAAATTGATGGTTTTTTAGCCGTCGGATGGGATCAGCAAGGTGGTGTTTGGAGGTCAGGTTACTGATGAAGAGGTTGAGAGCTTGAACAAAAGGTGAGATCTAAATCTTTGATAATTCAAATTTAAAATTTTTGAAAATTTTAGAGTTTCCTTTTTTTTTTTTTAATATTTTTAAAACAGATGTCACAGTCTGTGTTCTTTTTATTGTTTGAGACTTTGTTTGTGTCACTGATATGTAAATAATCAATTATAATGTGATGTTTTTTTGGTTGTATTTTTGTCAATGATAATTTGAATTAATTATTATCTCTACTCTCTAGTGTATGTTGCTTCTGTTATCCATTGTTTAATAGGAAGTTCATGTATCTGAAAATGGTTAAAATTGAATTGTTTGAGTTGTTGAATTCTAAATAAGGGATCTATGGTTTGAATCTCATTTCAGTTTGGCTCAGTCATTCAGTTACATGTAGGGGTGGGAATTTCTTTTTAAAACGCTGTCCGGACCTGAAAGCCTGTTTAAACCAGTTTCACATTTAGTCTTTGAAATAGTCCATTTTATCTATTTTTAATCGACAACACAATCTTTTATATACTATTTAGTCTATTTTCTAATGAATATGCATATACAGGATGTTTTTTCCATTAGAGTAGGGAATTACCATTTACAATATTTGGGTGGTTATGAATGGTAATATGAAAACTCAGTTCATGATGTTTATTAGTATTAGTTATATGTTTTCGTAGATGCGAGAGCATGTTTATAACACTGTGTGATTCCATCAAAATCTTGAAGCTTGTAGTAAATGATTCAATATAAATGATATTGTTCTACCCTTCCTTTCTTTTGAAACATACTTTTGCGCTTGTTTAGATTGACGGTTAGTTTGATAATTATTTTGATAGTGTGATTTGGTTGAAATACTACTGAAGTATAATTTTTCCCTATCAAACACACCACAAATCCAAGCATGCTTGAGGTTTTCAGTTTCATGTCCGACTCCTCTACTTCATTTCCTCCTCTAATGTGTGTTTGTAGACTAGTGTGAGATGTACTCAAGCTCAATTTCATATAATTTAAGGACTGAACTTGTAACCCTAGATCAATTTAGCTTGATGACTTTTGTATTGTGTGCTATCTGAATTTGTCTGGCTGTGTAATTTCCAGAAAGCCTTGTTCGGAGTATAAGATGAAGGAAATTACTGGTAGTGGAATATTTGTAGCCAATGGAGAAGACGATGACACAGAGGATGGCAGTGCCAATCCTTCTGCAAACAAAACTGGAATTCGCATGTATCAGGTATTGTGTTTTCATATTCAAAATAATAGATACTTTACTTGTTGTATTAATCACATGTTAATTCTTTCTTTTTGAAAATTGAAGCAAGCTATTGCGGGAATCAGTCACATCTCTTTTGGCGAGGAAGAGAGTGTTTCGCCAAAAAAGCCTGCCTCTTTGCCCGAGGTTGCTAAGCAGCGTGAGCTCAGTGGAACTATGGAAAGTGAAGACAATAAGCTGAACAAACAGCTTTCTGATGCAAAGTTCAAGGAGCTTAGCGGTCAGGACATATTTGCTCCACCACCTGAAATCAAACCTCGGCCAATAACTGCTCGCACACTCGAGTTGAAAGGGAGCATAGACATCGGAGATAGCCATGTATGCACCACTATAAGTTGCTAACCTGAATTATTTTGGGTGAATACTTTCAAATTTTGATCTCTCCCTCGTAGGCAAACATAACGCATTTTGTTGCATCATGAAATGAATATTGCAAAACATCAAGTATAAATCGTGTTCATGCATAAAGCATAATGCTTTTATGTGGCATATGTCAATTTTATTGTTACTTGGATTAATATAGCCTGTCTTGTGTTATTGTTACCTTTGTTAGGGTGGTGATGGAGACGAAGGCGTGACTCCAGGCGAACCAGTTCTGAAGACAGCGAAAAAGATTCTTAACCAGAAATTTGCAGAACTGTCAGGAAACAACATATTTAAAGGCGACGCTCCACCTTTGTCGGCTGAGAAATCATTAAGCGGGGCAAAACTCCGGGAGATAAGCGGCAGCAACATCTTTGCCGATGGGAAGGCGGAGTCTAGAGACTACTTAGGCGGCGTGCGGAAGCCGCCTGGTGGCGAGAGCAGCATTGCCTTGGTATAATTTGTTAGGTCTAACTTATTTCATATACTGTCTTTGTTTTGGTTTTAATTAATTTTTAGTGGGGATGTGTTATTAATATTATTTGACCTTGTATTTTCTGGGTTTGGGGAATTTTCCTTTTTGGTTCGTTGATTAAAATCTGGACCAAAGGATCATTGCTAATTGGTGGTTGTTTGTTCATAATCCTATGTTTTCTTCAACGTTTGCTTAATGAAGTTATTTGGACTGTTTATTCTCTATTACTTGTTTGTTTGTTTGTTTTTGGTTTTTAAGAAACTTTTGAATAAACACAATTTTACCATAATTTTAATAAAGATAAAAATAAGACAGTACTTTTGATAAAAACGTAAAATAGATAAACAGGTAAAACCAATAATACTTGAAACAATGTCATTCTGGCAAGGTGAGTAAGCAGTATCTTGCTATTTGATTTGTTTGTAAGTTTGTTTTATCAAAGAAATATTTGGTAGTTGAGTTAATCACACTATGAAAGTTGAAACTTTTTTTAAGAATGCTTTAGTAACCTGCATCTAATTCATCATTCTATCAGATGGTGTCGAGGTGAGAACACCTTTAAGCCAAAGTTAGTATCGCAGGTTTATTCACATAACCCTTCCAAATGACTACTTTGGCTGCAAGGCAATGTCGCATAATCAATCTTCTTTACGAATTGTCCCTTTGAAAAAAATTAAATAGTTAAAAATAGGACGTGAGATTTTTTTTGTCTAACTAGGATGTGAGATTTCTAAAATGAACAAGATTTAGAGAAAATGAAATATTAACTCGTGACGTTGCACTTTTTATAATTGATTAATACTAGTTGGTTATAACATATACAATTAACACAAATTTTAAAAAATAAAAATTGATGATGTTTTCAAATAAAAGGAGACTAAATTTCTAGCCCTACAATGTTTATGTTGAAAGTTTTTAAAAATCAAAATTTGTTTGAGTCTTGAATTATCAATTTATCAAAAATCAAAATAAATTTTAATCATAAAAACACTATTAAAATTGTAAGATAAGTAAAATATTCCATATATAATATATTTATTCAATTTAATAATAGCGGTTGAAAATGGTGTTTCGAATCATACAATTCTTTGAGTCAAATCAAACAAGCTAGGAAATAATAAAGATTTTGTGTGGGCTTATGAGTCAAATCATGACTTGCACTTGATTCGAATCATGCACACTGTGATTCGAATCACAGGTTGTACATGAGTCAAATCATAGATCCTTCTTCGACCTCTGCCAAGTTTGAGTCGAATCATAACTAAACCATGACTTGAATCTTAGGCCTTGTGAGTCGAATCATGCTTTACTCTTGATTCAAATCATACAAAAACTGGTCTCTCTTTAAAATGCAGATCTTGTTCTTCACTACTTGACTACTTGACTCAAATCACCAAATGCTCTTGACTCGAATCAAACATAATTTTTTCACTAATTTTCGTGCTTTATCTCCAGAACTTTAACTCATTTCATCTCTCAAAAACCTCACAATGTTAGAAAACACATTCTTCCTTTGATAATTTAAAAACTCATAAACTACTTGTTCTTTCTTTTGTCAAAAGAGTTTGAATCTTTACAGAACACTTGTGAACAATTTCTTTTATCTTCTATCTCATTCTTTTCTTTATTACATGGATCTGAATCTCATCTTGGAAGATTCGTGATTGATTGAGAAGACTGTTTGTGAATTTAACGTTTCTTTGAAGATTTTTTTAAAGATTTCAGAGGCTCGCAAGATTGTGCAGTATTGTGTTTGGTTGTGACAATTCCAGTGAAAAAGGAGGTTTTATCTCCAGGTTGACCTTGGTAGTACTGTGTGGAAGTCTACAAACATGGTAGGAGTTCTTCTTAATCTTTAGACAGTCCAACGCTCAAGATATCGACACAATTTTGTGGAAATTGCAGCAGGCGAAGATTTAGGAGCAGGTTATTGGATCTGGAAGGTTCAAGAAGTGAATTCGAGTAAAAATTTCACATGGAGTTCAGTTTGTGAAACTGTTTACAATTCAAGATCCAAAACAAAGAAATTTATCTTTTCTGGTTTTATTTTATGGACTAGTGATTGTACAAACTCTTGTAATATTGTTACAAAGCATGGATGAACGTGCCAAACAACTATAAATCTCGATGTACACTACTCTCTCTCTCTCTCATTTAAATTCGTAATTGATCGCATGATTAGGTTGTTTCTACTACTTTCTAGAATTGCATGTTGATATGATTTATCTTATTATAAATAGTGGTTTATTTCATAAGTTGTTGGTTTTGTTAGAACCTGTAGTTCAAGATTGTCTTAGTGTGGATTAAGCCTGGAGACTTTGATAGTAGAATCTTAATTATGTTGAAAATTATTCAATAACACTTCATGTGAAATTGAATAATTATGAAATACTGTTGGTTTGTATATTTTGGTATAATTCAATAGCTCATCTTGGTTGCATTGTGAATTGTTTAAGGAAGAGAGTGTTTCGCCGAAAAAATCGCCCCGTTTCCTGAGGTGGCCAAGCAGTGTGAGCTCAGTGGAACTATGGAAAGCAAAGACAATAAATTGAACAAAAGACTTTCTGATGTGAAGTTCAAGGAGCTTAGTGGTCAGGACTTATTTGCTCCACCACCTAAAATCAAAACCCCGACCAGTAACTATTCGCGTACTGATGACTTCTCGGTAAGTGTACCGATAGTGGCGAAGTAATAAATAAGATCGTATCCACATGGATTACTATTTAACAATAAAAATATTGTGTGATTCTTATAAAGCAACAATGGGGGGGGGGATTTAACTGCTAAAAATAAAAATTGTTATGAAAATAATGAGAAAGTGATTAGGTTTTGCAGTGAATCGTTTATTTCTCCTTTGTTGATGTCCAATGTATTACATAAATGAAAGGGCGTTATGTTTCCACGAAAATTTAACAAGGCCATTATACTCAATTCCTTGGTGTATAACTCACCAACTTATACCAGAGGTCTCCTATCCTTATTCAACCGGTATAAATGAAATCAGGAGATGATACCGTGTGTTAATTCTAATGCCACTACTCGAGGTCTACTATCCCTATTCAACCAGTGTAAGTATAATAATATCCCTAGTTTAGACGCGTAGGCTAAGGGTCAGTATTCCCAATACGTCTATGATCATATTAATAGAGTATCTCAAATAATAGGCATTAAGCAAAAAAGGCAATTAACTAGAAAGTTAAATTCGATTAAACATGCAATAACAAATCAAACATATGTCCCAACAGGTTCAAAATAAGACCATCGTACAAAACCTAATCTATGAGTGTTTAACTACTCATACTGATACAAATAAATACCATACAATTGTTGAACAAGTAACCTTAAGCACAAGAGGGGAGAGGGTGAATTGTGGTTTTTGAAAAGTGTGGATAATTTTCTCCTTTCTCGATTAAGATCGTGTTAGTAATGTTTTTTTGAGTAATAAAGAGTAGAGAAAGTAAAGTAAGTAAATTGAAGAAAATTAAAGACAATAAGGATAGAAAGATTTCACTATAGAGTTATCCAGGTTTGGCCGAACGTTGTCCTAGTCCTGTCTCCAAGAGGTGTTCTTAAGATTTTTCACTATAGACTTGAGAGCTTTTTATTGGTTATGTCCACAAACCTTAATACAATTTGATCTTTGACTTTGAACAAGCTTATCCTAACATATGGACGACTTTTGCCCCAACTTATTCTATTGAGACTGTTTAGAGATTTATGGATGATCTCTTAAACCAAAACAAAGCTTTTTTCGGCTAAGCTTAACAGACCAATAACATAGATTTATGGTTTATCTCAAGAACCAAAACTCAATCTCTTAAAGGTATCACACCCTTAAGACTATAAACAATCAGCACAACCACTTACAAAATGATATTCTCCTCACAAATAAAATTTCACTCCAAAGCACTAAGGCAACCAAGAGTGAAGAAAGAAAATTTCTAGAGAGAGAAGGAGATAACCTAGAGAGATAAATTCCAAACAAATATGAAAACATTGGAAAGTAGCGTGATTTCAAGTGAGGGATACCTCCCTTTATATAATAGTTGGAATCACCAAGAAAGGAAATAACCCATGGGCCTCATTAACTATTTAATCGATTGCTCTAATCGATTAATTTAAATGAATATGCCTGTTATGCTTCTCAAAATGGAAGGTTGTGATATAGATCTGTTGCCAATCGTTTATGAGTTATAAAAATGTTTTGGGGGTGTAAGTTTGATCTTTTCTAATCGATTAGACTAAAGTTTTAATCGATTAAATTAGACAAAAATTTCCCTCTGATCATTTCTAGAGCTCCTAAGCTATTTGGAATAACTTTCGAGTCATTTTTAAATGTTTTTCTTTTTGAAAAAAATTTTTAGTGTATGTGTGTGAGTTGCCTTAGTATTTTTAAGCTACTATTTTATTTTTACAATACTTGGTTCACTTAGACAAACTGACAAGACTTGTCGAGCTTCCACATATTTCTTTTTGAATAGACTTTTAGGGCTTCTGTTGTTTTGTAAATTGACTTTGAGTACGTCATGTTGTTGACATTTAACTGATTTCTTCATGTTGTTTATAGTTGACTTTGAGTACTTCATGTTGGTAGATGCATTATTGTCATCAAAATATGGTTGTTATCTGGAAGCACATAGATCCACAACAATAAGAGGAAGGTTGCATAAGAAAATCCTTGAAGATCTGGCCTCAAATGGCTTCTGTTTCTCTCCAAATCCCACTTCCAGTACTCTATTTCCTCAATTGTAGTCAAAATTTGCTGAACCCTTGAAAAGACACCAAACTTCCCATTTTAAAGACTTTAGAAACAATCAGAATGCGTCAGAAAAAAGTTCAGAAAAAGGCCCATCGCGTGGGTCATGGATATCATCGCGCGCGCGATGTAACTTTTTCAGCTCCATCACGCATGTAACACAATAGTATTTATTGTCTCCAACCTTACAACAGGTACATAAACTCATTGAAGTCAATACCAGGTTTTT